TATCCACATTTAATATCTGTTGATTCTCTCACATACCATTGATTTTAGTATATTCTAAAATGAATGATTACCTACCTATATTATTTTATAATTACCTTAACTTAATAAAAATGTTTTCGAAATTGCCAAAAATTAATAACAAACTGGCTATACTTTTAAAGTAATTTCTCTCTTCCGAGTATGCGTATTAAATTTATCTCAAAATACAAGTATGGCGAGCATAGCTATCAAACGATTGAGAGCACTTCAAATTAACAAAGAATTTATTGTTGACCCAAAAAAAAAAACCCAAAAAAAATACGATTGAAAACGAATTTACGTGCATTGTTGTCATATCATTTATTTGGCTTTTGAAAAATTCAATATACATAAAATAATTTATTCTTGAAAAAATTAATAAATTAATAATTATAATCATCTACAAATAAACTCCTAATAATATGTAATATATAATATGAATAAAAAATTAAAAATATGTAGAACTTATAAAATATATATGAATAAAAATGAAATAAATATAATATTTTGTAATGACAACCTAATTACCTATATGTCAGTTATAACGGGATAGCGTAAGCCAACATACCTACTCATTAAATATTTTAATAAATTATTAGAATTTTTATTTCCCACATACCACATATATTTACTATGAATATTAAGTATTTTATCATTTTGTTTTTTTAGCATTTCTTTTCTTTTACTCTGTATCGTAGCTATTTTCAATATTGTTTCTGCTTGGTTTCAATTAGAACTTTAATAACTATATTATATTGCTGGATGAGAGCTGTAAAATTAATTATTACATCCTTCTCTAGTATTTGTTATCTAAATTACTATTAATATCCGGCTAATCCGATAAAAGTCCAATAAATATTAACAGATTATTGTGCTCATATTATCAATTGATTACATTTGGCAACGTTATAAAAAATAAAAAACTCGAGCGTTCTCAATCATGTTATCAAAAATAATGTTCTCAATCCTATTTTACCGACGAGCATTACGCAATTGAGATGCAAAAAAACGGATAAAGTATTAACTACCTTTACTACCTATATATTAATTATATTTATATAATAGTAATATTATGAGTGAATATTTTTTTGTTTTTCAAAACATATTGAGCATTTATATCAGAAAATATACGGATACATTATGTATTGATGTAATACGCACATGTCTTAGAACACAGTGAATTTCCGTCTTAACGTCTAATTATATTATTAAATATGTAGATTGTAGATGGATATCTTCTACCAACAATCTATTATACTACACCAATAATTATACAGTAAAAATCAATCGTCACTCGTGAACCTCGAGAATTGCGTGCCTTAATATTGTACAACATAGCAAATATTGTGTATAATTATTATATTACTATCGTGCAAGTAAATAAAGGGGTAAGTATATTAAATCATGGTCGTTTCATACTTTTTTTTACCATTAAAATAATATTAAACGACTTGGATAACGTAATATTGTGTAGTATAGGTTTATGACATTATCGCCATGCTCGCCGACTTGACTGTATCATATTATATCAAATTGGGCGCAGCCCTATAAAAAAAAAAAAAAAAAAAATCGAAAAAACGTTCGACCTATGTGTATAAGAAACAATTAATCAAACAAAAGACCATACCCGCTGTTTTAACAATTGGAAATTAATCAAGCTCTTGTCCCTGTGAATGGGTAAAAGTTGCAAATCACGGTCCTGTGGTTATATGTATACATAGGTATATTTAGAGAAAGATTCCCATAAACCTATACATGCAGCCTATATTATATGGGTACGCATGTATACGACGTGGGAGGCGAACAACACCTTTACGGTCCGCGGTCGTTACGATAGATTATCGTCGTTATATATAAAATATATTATACTTGTGTGTGTGTGTGTGTGTGTGTGTGTGTGTGT